CCAGAAATGAGCCTGGATATATCTGGCTCTACATTGCTTTCCAAGCATAGAGCTGTTGCTCAGCAAACCTATGTTGTCCCCCAGCGTATCCCAAGGCCCAAGGTCCTAGGTTCAAGAGTTCTTTGTCTTCGAACTCATCTAGTGCATCAAGATCGGAGTCGGCGTACTCCTCTTTTCGCATGCTCCTTGGTCAATGTAGGGTTTTTGCTGTCTTTGCCAGGTGTTGTCCAAGCTGCCTCCACCCAAAAATGACAAGGACCTGTGAGAATTCCAGAAGTTCAACTGTGGCTACTTCCCAACCTGCCGATGTCACAATGATAGGTCCATGATGGTCCATGATGGTCCATGATGGTCCATGAGCATACCTGCCTGACATACGGCATGCTATTTTTTCCAAGAAGAATTGATTCAAGCAAATGATCCTTTCCTTATCTTTCATTTTTGTGGCCTGGAAGTTGCATGGAAGCACACGGCAAATCTTGCGTCCACGGCATGTCTTTATTACACCTGTCCAGCCTGTCCAACTAAGGTCCAGGCCGGACAAGCAGCAAATCTATGCCATCTTCAGGAACATCCGTGATCAGCTTGCCTTCGGCAGCAGCCCAGGGATGAATTTTGGACACGGCCTTCCAAACATTTCCAAACCACAGAGTTTCACTTGTTCCTGAGGTCCAAAGCCTGAAAAATTAGAACAACTGAACTAAATTACATGTCCATTCTTTGCAACGTGGCAAAAATATCACTAACATGATGTGTTTATGGGCAATGCATATCATCATACATGTATATATATATATATACATATATGTATACGTATAGATATATATATATATTATAGAGAGAGAGAGAGGTCTAGTTATTGATTTGTTGATTACGTTTCACTTTATTTATTTACCTACCTATTGATTTGATTTCATGTAATATTTATATACACATACATACATACATACATACATACCTACGTACATACATACATACATACATGCACGCAGGCATCCATGCATACATGCATGCGTACATTACGTTACGTTACGTTGCAGTACAGTACATTAATATATACAGTACAGTACAGTACATTGCATTGCATTGCATTACATTGCATTGCATTCCAATACGATACAATACAATCCATACATATGAGAAAGAGAGAGATAGAGAGAGATAGAGAGAGAGAGATAGAGAGAGATAGAGAGAGATAGAAGTTCACGCACAGGGCCAGCTGAAGTCTAAAGCGCCGGTGTCGCAATTTGGTTTGGTCCATGCGGCTTTTCTTGCGCAACGCACTTTGCGCCATGGTACTGCTCGAAAAACAGTTATGAATGAGGCCTGCTCCTGCCAAAATTTATGTTTACATAATCGCAAACCCTGCGAATCCCAACAGACTTTAGGGAAATATGTACCGTATACTGAGTATACTGTATACATGGCATTTCGTTGCACTCTGCAAGTTCGAGAGCCGGAAAGCAATATAAGTTATTAGATGTTATTAGATGTTATTAGTTTGTTTTCTTTGCACGGCCAGCTCGAGGCAGCTCAAGTCCACTCCGCTGCTCCCCTGCTCTGTTCTTTGAAGATTGAGTTTGAACAAGACGAGATTACGAGATCAAGGACAAAGGAGACAAAAAGAAAATAAAAAGGACATAAATGACATAAAAAGGAAATTTGACAAAATTTGACATCCTTTGACATTAATTTGACATATTTTGACATCTTTTCAGGAATTTGACAAAACCGAGACATTCGAGGCCCCATTCGAGGTGTACCCGAGCCGCTCGAGCCTATCTTGTCATCGAGGCCCAGGAGGTGATTTTCAAAGATCAGATCAAAAGGCGTATGGCTCAGCCCCACTCCTGGGTTCGGAGATCGCAGATCCGGAAGCTGGGTCCTTTATCCTTTTTGGATCTTTTTTGCTTCAATTAATATGCATTATATATGCATTAATGTTGTATTCACGTATATTCACGTATAATATCAAGAAGGAATTCACTTGCTTGTTGGATCAGGTCTGCGAGATCCTGTCAAATCGAATCTAAGGTTGAAACTGCCAGAAATAAAGTACTTCATTGGCAGGGACAGCACATTCCAGGAGCCTCGCAATCCGTTGACAGGTCCCCGGCAAGCCCATGGCCGCCCGGCCCCATTTTCATGATATCCGAATTCCACATTTCCACACTACCGTTCTAAGTCCAAATCATTGCCAATAAACTGCTTGAAAAAAATGCTATTAGGCTATTAGCAGCTAATGAAAGCCATTCTGCTTCAAAGTCAATCTGCTACCTTTCAAGCCACAGAACGGGAATCATCATCTTATGTCATCTTGTGGGGTCACAAACGTCAAGATGCCTATCTGCATCTCAAGCAATACTTCACCTGCGATGGATCTCACACGCCTCAGCAGCTGTCAAGAGTGGAAGGTTCTACAGTCGGATGCAAGCACCAAGCATCACGAAGATTCACAAAGCGCTGAAAAATGGCAATCTTTCCTCGTCTTCAATGATTCCCATGTCCAAATTGTCTCCAAGGCACAGTGTGGTCATTTTGTCAGACACCTTGATACGGCTTTCCATTGGGACCTGTGTAACGAGCCTTGGCAAACAGAATGGTGAAACCGTTTTGGTGCATGATTGGCAAAGCGAAAAATGACACTGGACACAAGCTACGCAATTCTTGGATGCTCTTAGTGCTCTTGGGTCCTGTGAAAGAAGTGAAAAGCAGCATCTTTGGGCAGCCTAAAGGGACATTGCACCACAGTACATTTCTCAAACGCCCTTGGAGCCCGAATGACTGTGCCACATGAGTGCCGCTACTTCCACCCTTTGGATGCCGAAGCCAATAGCCATGTGGCTGAGGACTTGCACGGAGAGGTAGCACAGGGAGCTGTCCCAACCTGTGCAAGGTCGCAACAAATGCAACAGAACAAACAGTGGAACATTTTGGAACTGCTTCAATATGTTCAATGATGTTTCAATCTTCTTTACATCTTGGACATCATGGACCTCTGGAATGTCAAAAGGACCAACATGGACCAAGTTTGGTCACCTTTGGCCTTGTCTTTTCTGCATTGAAATGGTTTACACAGTGACACATGCAGCAAGCTAGCTACATCCACCAAGTCACGTGTCACATTCCTCCGAGTCGCTGTCCTCTGGAATGCCTTCATAGCTGCAACGAAACTCGACGAAATGGGACCCAACTTTATGCAAATGGCAACTATCACATGACATATCTGATATCACATGATGCGTGTCTCGTCTTGACTGCGAACTTGCTCAAGAAAATTGCCTTCATCATCATCTTCCAGTGCGAAGCATTGGCGAAGTAGCTGTCCACCAACTGAAAAATTGCAACTCATTGCACGGCATAAATGCTCAGTTCATTGTACTTGCTCTCCTCACCCCACCGTAGTGACGCGCATGCAGTACAGATCATAATTCCCGGCCACACACAAAAACGCATGCAGAGCGCACGCGCACACCAGGACAGGCTTCGAAACCAGGAAAAAACTTGGTAGAGGCTGGTAGAGGCTGGTAGAGGCTAAGACATGCTAAGACCCCGTCATCTTGCTTGCTCTTCCCAGCTCAACTTTGCGCCAGGTCCTGCAGGCTTTGAGCCCAGGCATTCTTGTCTGGTGATTCTGCGCAAATTTTAGAAGTCTTAGGACGATAATTATACTGAATGACTCTCAGTCGCAAGGAACGGTACTGACAAAGACTCTGACTCTGACCGCGATGATAGTTTTCAACAAAAGAAGTGCACTCCAAAGTCAGCAACAGCCACGCTGAGGTCCGAGGGAAGATGTTGTGGATGGGAATTTCAAACCATCACCTCCAAGAGCTGGTCTGTCAATTTCATCAAATTTCTTAACATGTCTTACCATGTCTGACCTCAATGAAATCAGAAAGCCTATCTTGACATGAGATTGCAGACTTTGACTTGTCTTCCTGCCACACTACTTTCTGCTTCATGTAGTCCACAAAAAACTCTCAGAGTGTCCAGGGTTCGCAGAGCTGTGCCACAAGCCACGAGCCTCTGTGAGCACCCGGAGTGAATTGGCAAAACACTGGAGCTGTCATCGGTCCTGGCTCAGCATCTAAGCCGAGCTTCCTAAACTTCCTCTGCGCATCTCTGCGCATCCAATTTCAGAATTCACCAAATTTGTGGCCATCAACAGGCCACAAGTTTTTCTCGAACACGGAAAGGTACGAACATGTTCCAAAACAGAGCCCTAAAGGCCCTAAAGTTCTAAAGATTCCAAATTTCTCTCCCTCCCAAGTTGAAGAAGTGCCTCCATCCGCCGGAGGCCGATGCTGTGCAGTCAACGTGACCCACATGGAATTTTAAGCAAATCACAGGTGCCAATGGTACTGACAAGCAAGACATGTTACTCTCAATATCTCCTTTTTTGGAAGCAAAGCTATGCTCCAAAAAGTAGACATCTTATGGAGGGTTCCCGATATTGCAAGCCTCGTACACAAATGGACACTATATACATAACAAAATGCTGCGGGTGTGGTGAAGTCATGTAAAGTACAACGTGTCACAACAATATCAACAATGATTCAAATTCAAACTGATTCTACAGTTATTGCAATATTGTACTTCAACCATCTTCAGCATATTTCAAGGATGCCTTGGTTTGACCAAGTTCTAAACTTTCTTTGTTCTCACTCTTCGGAGCATACATTTCCACATTTCCTTGTCTCGGATCGCAGCTCGAGCCGCACCGAGCTGCGTCGAAGCGGCGAACAGTGTCAAAAAAAGGCAGCAGGAAATAACAGGAAAGTGCCTGGGGAAAATTAGGAAATAATCCAAACGACGTTGATTTGGACGGGTTTGGATGGGTTTGGAACAATTCGAAAGCTTTGCGGTGTTCCAATGGTCTTGAAATCAATCAAAAATTGGTGTTTCCATCGCCACAAGATGTCACAACTATCGGAAGCGCTCTCTGACAGAGTTGAAAGGAAAGAGGTTTCTCGGAGGCCCGCCCGATGAACTTGGATTCATGAGTGTCCAGCCTGCCAGAAAGCACGCCAAGGTACACGAGAAAATCATAGAAAATCACTTGTCTGGTAGGACAAACACAAATACAATCACCCCTAGTTCCTGGCAAAGATTTGGATTTTCAGAACTTGGAACGCAGGAGATTGTGGACATCTTGAGCATCAAACCCCGCCTCTGACTCAAAATCTTTGAGCGATTTCTCCAGGCTGCCATCTTTGGCTGCACTCAGCAACTTTGCTGCAAACTTCTTGCGTGCAGAGGGGGCGCTTCCCTGTGGAGCTTCCCTTTCTTCCTTACGATGCAAGACTGCTCTTGTTTACTCGCTCCCCTCCCCTTGTAGCTCCAGCCGCACAGCAGAGTGACAATACGTAAACATGCGTAAACTCTGGTCAAGGCTAGGAGATCCGGCCCTGGCAAATGTTGTACTTTGAGACTTGCCTGCAGCCTCCACATAGACTGAAAGACTGACAGCGGTCTCAACACTATGTTTCAGCCTTTCAGCATCAGAGTGTGCCGCCACTCCCAGCATTTGTTCGCATCGCTGCGCTCATGCCTCCGTCTTAGTCAAATTGACAGCCTTAGTTTTCAAGGTCAATGGTGTACAGTCTTCAGGAAAAAGAAGTCAGAGAACGACTGTATTGAACTTGTTGCTGTTTCCGTTTGTGCCCTGCGAGCTGTGCAATTCAAGCCTGGTCACTTCCCTCAAAATGTTTATGTCACAACAAAGAGAGACTTGACCCCTGACGCCTGCGGTCTCCACTGGGCTGTCTCTGCTTCTCTGTCTACATAAGGCAGAGCGAAATTCCAACACCCCCCTCACCAACAACAACAACAACAACAACAACAACAACAACAACAACAACAACAGTCCAGCATAGTCTACCATAGGCCAGGATAGACCAGGATAGTCCAGGCCCCCACACCACGGTGCAAACCACTTCATCTACGGCCTGCGTGGCTATGGACCTGGCCTCAGGATGCTCACAGGAACTGTCTCTCTGGGTCTTCGTGGATCTCTCTGGACTTGCGGCAGATCTCTGGAATGAATGGACCAACGGAGTCACTAACATGGCAATCGCCGAATTGCAACGAATCTGGATAAGCTGCGGACAACCTCCCTCGACTGTGGAGAACACTCCTGACAAAGTAGGTTGCGAGAAGTTAATTTGCTGTCATACAGTCATACAATGTCCAGTTTGGTCGTTTAAGATTTGTGCCGTTCTCGAAACATCACACAGTCCACTATCCTGGTTTGCCTCTGTTGCGGGCAGCTTGGAAGGCCTGAAAACTGATGCAGCGACAAGTCAGGTGTCACTTGGCAATGACCACGCATGTGTCAAATTGCTCCTTGTATGGGTCAGCTCGGATATGGGGCATGTGCTATTGCGCACGGTAAATCCAATCTGCGCGATGCGCGAGTCCATTAGAGTCAGAATCAGCGTGATAGCACACTTAAAAGACTTAAAAGACTTTAAAGTACTGGAAAACGCGAAAAGTTTTCGAAAATCCGGCCCCCGTCATGCCCGTTCCTGTCATGTCCTGTCGGTTGTCGAAACAGTCGCTGAGGCCAAGACTCCGGTGCGGAAACCACCACCTTTGGTGTTTGCCTGGCACAGCTTCCATTAATATCCGTCGATTATCCGTCGATTCAGTGCATTTCAACACCTTTCTGTTTTCAAAAAGAGCGCCAAAAAGAAAGGTGCAAAGAAGAAAGATCTTGAAGTAGCGCGCAATCCAAGCGGAAGGCAATAGATTAGTCGGCACTAGTCCTTTACATCCAAGAGACTTGTTTGCAGGTTCGACTTGCCGCACCCTGGCACGTTAAGCGGGTCATTCTGCTGTGTTGAAACAGTTTTTTCTACGTTCGGGCTCAATCAGTATTAAAAAAACACCTCGAATTCCAAGGAACGAGGCTTTCATGGCCACTTCGACCTTCTAGTTTTTTCTGTGTCGGGAGTTTACTGTACTGTACTACTCTACCCAGCCTCTTCTTTGGCACTGCTTTTGCTGCCTGAAGCAGTACAGTGTCCAAGTGGCGAGTAGTTCAGGATGGAACTGATCATGCCACAATCGCACACAAATGCAATTATACCTGGTGAATCCCTGACTCCAAATCCAAGAATGCCTCAAGTAGAAGGCAATTCCAATCAGCCAAATTCACGAGTCGCGCGCATGCAACCTTCAAATTTGGTGTTTCTTCAGGGTGAGATTTATGTTCATTACATTTTGGTATCTCATGGCTGTCTTTCAAATTGGCTGTTGTCATGATCTTAAGATTGGCAAGCAAGTGTCCGCTGTTTGTTGCGCTTACGTGTCGAGAATCACACTGGAATAATCTGGTGATCTAAATTTGCATGTTGATGTTTTGTTGGAAGAAACACTTTGTACAGGCAAGCTCTATCAGGGCTATTTCATCAGATTCACACAGCTGCTTTCAGGGCGACTCCTAATTCCCCAACAGCATAAGCTAATGGGGTCTTCAGCCCAGAATAGCTCCGGTGTGCACTGGTGCAGGCGCCGGGTCAGGTTCAACGAGGTTCTGGAGAAGGTTCGAAGGTTCTGGAGAAGGTCTGGGAGGCTTTGGTGCAGAGCCGGGTCACGTTCAACAGGGTTCGAGGGCCGGTATGGTCTAGTGGGTAAAACGCATCCCTCATGCGTCAGACCCGGGTTCAATATTCGGGTGCAACACTAGGCGGACAGGCGGGCCACTACCCCACCCCTGCAGTTCAGGGGATGAGCTAGGGTGTGGTCCGTAAAGACTTTCCCTCTCCGTTCAACAGGGTTCCGGAGAGGGTTCCGGAGAAGGTCTGGGAGGCTTTGGTGCAGAGCCAGGTCAGGTGCAACAGGGTTCTGGAGAAAGTTCCGGAGCCAGGTCACGTTCAATAGGGCCATCGGGTTCCGGAGAAGGTTCCACAGAAGGTTCCGGAGAAGGTCTGGAAGGCTTCGGTGCAGAGCCAGGTCAGGTTCAACAGGGTTCCGGAGAAAGTTCCGGAGCCCAGGTCACGTTCAATAGGGCCATCGGGTTCCGGAGAAGGTTCCACAGAAGGTTCCGGAGAAGGTCTGGAAGGCTTCGGTGCAGAGCCAGGTCAGGTTCAACAGGCTTCCGGAAAAGGTTCCGGAGAATCAACAGGGTTCCGGAGAAGGTTCCGGAGAAGGTCTGGGAGGCTTTGGTGCAAAGCCAGGTCAGGTTCAACAGGGTTCCAAAGAGGTTCAGAAGGTCTGGGCCTGGGAGGCTTTGGTGCAAAGCCAGGTCAGGTTCAACAGGGTTCCGAAGAGCTTCAGAAGGTCTGGGCCTGGGAGGCTTTGGTGCAAAGCCAGGTCAGGTTCAACAGGGTTCCGAAGAAGGTTCCGGAGAAGGTCTGGGCCTGGATGGCTTTGGTGCAGAGCCAGGTCAGGTTCAACAGAAGGTTCCGGAGAAGGTCTGGGTTTGGGTGGCTTTGGTGCAGAGCCAGGTCCGAACAGGGTGCCGGAGAAGGTCTGGGAGGCTTTGGTGCAGAGCCAGGTCAAGTTCAGCAGGATTTGCGGCCGTTTAACTCACGGAAACCCAGCTGAGGTGTTTCCAGCGTTTGGCTTTGTAGCATGTTTCAGAAAGATTTGTAAATTAAAACGTTGCGGCTGTTGGGGACACCACAGAAGCTTATTATTTTTTTCAAGTTCAGAACGAGTGCATCATGGAACGTGCACGGCATATCTAAAATACATTAAAATACAACTATCTGGAAGCGCTTGCAGCTTCGCCTAAATGTACTCAGAACTGGTGAAAGCACACTACATTGGTTGCTTTCCATGCGGAATACAGTACTCCCATTTTGGAAGCCATCATAGTATTCATTCAGACATACAATATTCAGACTCATTCCCAGACAAATGAAAGTTGCCTTGAAGTTCAGTACCAACAAAATTGTATAACACTCTGCAGAATGTCTGAATTCGGAAAATACGTCTCTTTTTACCTCTGTCTCTCTCTAAATGAAGTTTCAATCTGCAAGCCTGCGTCCCTGCTAAACTGTTGCAGGGTCTGCACAGAACAATGCCTGTGTTGTGACCGTTTGTCCAGCTATGTCCACCTCCCATGCAGTTTGTCCCAGGAGAAGGTAGCGAAACACTGTTCGACTGCCCAAGCGCGCCTGCTTGGCCTTTGTTGGAATTTCTTGTTTCCTTGAAACATGGAGTAACATGACTCAAATATCTCAAATGGTCCAACTTCACAACTGACAAGACTTTTTCGAGATTTGTATTGGAAACACAGGTTGAGCAATGAGGTCTCCTGGGCTTTTTGGAGCGCCAAAGCACTTCCTGCTCAGCCAGTGGCACCCCGATAAGGAGTGCCTGAAAGTCCTGAACGTGAAAATCTCCAGGTGAGTGATTCTCCAGTGGTACAGTAGGGTTCAAAGGGAGGGCGGAGCTCGGGCATCCCAGCATCTTCTCCCAATTTCCCCTTCAAATCCAGTAAGTTGATGTAAGTTGCCCATGTGGTTGGATCTGGATGTATTCTAAGTTTGGTTTTGGCCAAAAAATCACGCATGTGGGAAATCATTATGCAACTTGTCAAACTCGCCCACCTCCATGACCAGGCTTCTTTGTGCAGGCGGCCAAGATAGCAGTAACTGGTGCACAGCACGTGGGGGACCAAAAATTGGTTTTATTGGGCGACAGCGGTGGCATGATCTGTTTTCTTCTGTGTGTGCGTATTGATGAGTATTGCGTGTGTTGGTGTTTGCTGGCGTTTTGTGTCACCAGTGTGTAGATTTTGGATGATTTAGGTATATGCAGTATGCAGCATGTATAATATAGATTTGTACATCGAATAACACTATACAACCCCACAGGACGTGTGCGTATGTGTGTCTGTGTCTGTGTCTGTGTTTGTGTCTGTCTGCGAGAATGAGATTCAAATCCTGGAAAGTACGAGACAGGTACAGTAGAATGGTTGCAGCTTGCGTCTTCTACTAGACTTAATGAGCACATGGCGCAAACACCATACAACACGTGCCAGAGCAATGTTCGGCAGTGTGCCTTTGACAAAGTTGATCAAAGTAGTCTGTTTAGATCCGCAAAAACAAAAAAGCACTTTGTGTAGAAAGCCACCCAAGGCCCTGCCGAGCGAATAATATGGGAGGCTTAGTCAAGTCTATATTTAAGAGCTGGAACAAAGGCCAGCGAATGTGCAGAGTCTAGCCCGGACATCGTAAGCTTTCAACACTCGCCATGAAATGCCAAAAAGTCTGACCTCCCTGCATGGATCTGGCACGGCTCTGCTCTTGCCTTGAAGAGCGTCTTTGGGCGTTTAGCCATCACACCGACTGAGTCGAGGCTCTTGACAAAAGACTCCTCAACAGTCCAACTGCTCAAACACAGCACTCAACAAGGAGCTGTCCAACTGAATCTTCTCACTTCATAGAGCTGTCCTCGTCTAGTAAGCCACACGCAGCTTCTTCCAAGTGATCCCAAGCCTCAGAGTGGCGACGCGATGTCATGGAAACATCAGAAGATATCTGACACGATGCTTTTCGCTTTCAACGCCAATGGCGCCAATAGCAACGCGAGCTTAAACCCAGTCACGACAAACTTTCAAAGCGTCCAAGAAATTTCCTTCAGCCTTGCTCCTCTGTACCTTTGTCCTCTGTCTTGAACAACTTCTTGGAACTTTCATTGCACTGCACGCACTGTACGCACTGTACGCACTGTACGCTCTGTATCACTTGCGAGTTGGCGCCGAACATCCATGAGCGATCCGAACTTGTCCACCAACTGCTCCCTCATGGAGTCCAACAAACTGGCACGTCAGGCTTCAGGGAGAAAATTCAGGAACCGCAGCCGGGAGCCTCAAGATGTTTCCTTCGATCATTTGAAACCAACGTTTGAACATCAATGAACAAGCTCATATCATGGAAACATATGGAAATATATGAAATCATTTATATAGGATGGTCAGTATGGTCTTCATATGTCTTCATTTGATGTCCTTTTTGTGCAATTCACCAACCTAAGGATTCCGTTGAAAATTACGGAGGGACGGGCGAGTCACGGAAAATATTGGATGTTTCTAGTTGTTTTACTGCATATAGTTTTTTAGGATCCTTTTCAAAGATTTTGGCCAAAGAAGGCCTCAAAAGGTGCCGAAACGACAGACCATGTACATTCCGATTCACGTATCCTACAAAACACGGTCATAAGACCAAAAAAGATGTTGGACGATGCTGAAAGTATTCAACAAAGCGTCCGACAGTTCTCTTCGCCAAGCCTCTTCTGAGGTCCTGGAAACCCCACACCCAGCACTCGCTCGCTCAATCACTCATTCCAGAGGCCCCTGGGACCTAGCTGCTTGGCAATCCAAGTCATGAAAGGTCAGGAAGTGTCGCTGGCCGCCTCAATCAAACACACATGTTATGTCGTCATGTTGTCATTCTGCAACACTGAAGCACAGAGGCAACTCTGAGGTCCAATCTCAGTTCTTCCCACAGACTTTTTGCCTTGCCGCTAAACGCGCACTCCTTCAGGGAGTAAGAAATCAAGGTGTGACAAAGGGAGTGACAACGGGAGTTGAGTTGACAAATGGATTTGAAAGCTACACGCTACAAGTGGCTACAGGGTATGCATCTGATTGCATCTGCATGTGCATCTGCATGTGCATCTTGCCCGACTTGACGGAGGTCTCCTCAAGAGCCTTCATGAAGATGCCAAAACCACAAGTGCCCTGGCACAAAAAAAACTTAAGATAAAAAACCTCACGTCATGTCAGGTCATACCAGGTCCATCACATTCTCTTTCAATAGGAGCCAAGGTCTCTTGCAAAGGCTACAGCTATTCTGCGTAAGTCTCCAATCTGAGAGGCTGGACATGATTTTGAGGATCGAAGGCACTACGCCATGCCACGACCTCAGCAGCCGGACACAAATCGAAACAGGATGTCGGGTCGGAAGCGGCTCCCTGCGCGCACAGCTCATGACTCATGAGAAACAAATGGAGTCCATGGCAGTCCATGGTAGCGGGTTGCAAGTTTGCGATGTTCACTATTTGGCAATTCTCCACAGCCTCCGCAGTCGATGTGATCCTTTGATCCCTGACGTTTGAAGTTTGGTTGGAAGGCCGGGGGTTTCACGCTTGTGACAGTTTGACATTTCTAGAGCCGCTAAAGCAATCAGCCTTTGAATTTGAGGCAGCAGTTTGGGGCTAGCTATGGTGCAAAATGGTGCAGAGGTTCGGGATGGCCACGTTCCCAATCATGGAACCCTTAAGTTTGAAGTGGCATTGATGCATAATATTTTGGAGACTTTGTCCACCTTCTCAATTTCAATGAGGAACCAATGACAATTTCGAGAAGTTATGTAAATGTTTATTGAAAACAATTGGTCACACCCATTGACTGGCAAAGCAATTTGTTTTCTTCATGAGATCTCCGGGCTGTCGCCAACACAACTTCGCCAGTCATGGCAAGTCATGGCTCTGAGTTTCCAGGCGGTGGAGCCAAAGCAGCGCTTCAGAGCAGTGTGAAGCTGTTGGAGTTGGCCTCATCGACAGTTTAGCTCCGAGAAGCTGTTCCACACCGCGCGCCATTAAACCAAAATGAACACTGGACCTCCCACAGTTGTCATACAGCAAAGGTTTCTTGGGACACGGCCAGGGCTCATGAAGCTGTAAAAGGTTTTCTGATTCCTTTGGCAAACTTGGGCAAAGCAGAAAGAATGCAAAAATTCAACATTGAAAGAATTATATACGTCTTTGCCGTTCATGTGCCAGCTGTGCAGGTCATGAGTGCTCAAATATCTGTGGTACAATATATACTATTACATAGGTTATTGATTATCTACCATGAATCCGCCGGCCTGCCGGCGTGTCTGATTGGAAGGTGTTGTTCTTGTTTCTGTTGTTCGTTTGTACTTGTTCCTTTGTTCTCTTGCTGCGCGTTTTTGTTTCGTCTGAATCAAAGTCAAACCCCTCCCTCCCCCCTTCCAAGTACAAGTACTACTAGTACTAGTACTAGTACTAGTACTAGTACTTTGCTGCTGCTGCTGCTGCTCCTACTACTACTACTACTACTACTACTACTACTACTACTACTACTACTACTCCGCTACTGCTACTACTGCTGCTCCTACTACTACTACTACGACGACTACTACTACTACTGCTACTGCTACTGCTACTGCTACTGCTACTACTGATACTACTACTACTACTACTACTACTGCTACTACTACCATTACTACTACTACCACTGCTGCTACTACTACTGCTGCTACTACTACTAGTACTACTACCACTACTACTACCACTACTACCACTACTACCACTACTACCACTACTACCACTACTACCACTACTACTACGACGACAACTACTACCACTACTACCACCACCACCACCACTACTACTACCACTACTACTACTGCTACTACACTACTACTACTACTACGACTACTACTACTACTCCTCCTCCTCCTGCTGCTGCTGCTGCTACTGCTACTGCTGCTACTGCTACTACTGCTACTACTGCTACTACTTCTACTACTGCTACTACTACTACTACTACCATTACCACTACTACCACTTCTACCACTTCTACCACTACTACCACTACTACCACTACTACCACTACCACCACTACTACCACCACTACTACTACTACTGCTACTACTACTACTACTGCTACTACTACTACTACTACTACCACCGCTACCGCTACCGCTACCGCTACCGCTACCGCTACCGCTACTGCTGCTGCTACTACTACTGCTGCTGCTACTACTACTACTACTACTACTTACTACTACTACTACTTACTACTACTTACTACTACTTACTACTTACTACTACTACTACTACTACTACTACTACTACTACTACTACTACTACTACTACTACTACTACTACTACTACTACTACTACTACTACTACTACTACTACTTACTACGACTACTACTTACTACTACTACTTACTACTTACTACTACTACTACTACTACTACTACTACTACTACTACTACTAC